AACAGACTGGTAACCAATGCAGCTCGTGAAGCAGAGGTATAATGTGTGTTCTACCAGAAACACACATAACTGCCTGCGCCATCGCATTCTGTACCAGCTGAAGTTTCTGGATACTCTTCAAGGACAGCCCCAGGCAGAGTGCATTGCAGTACTCCAACCGGGAGGTGACCAGGGTATGAGTGTCTGTGAGTAAGGCGCCTCAGTCCAGGAATTGGCACACAATACATAATTGTACAAAGGCCCTCCTAGCCACAACTGCCACATGCTCATTGAGCAGGAGTCATGAGTTCAGGAGGACCCCCAGGTTGTGCAAAGAGTCTGTTTGGGGCAGTACCAACGATGGTATAATCCCAGAATAAGAGGGCCTCAAAACCCCAACCCACTCAGTCTTGCCAGGGTTCAGTTGAAGCCTGTTGTTCCCCATCCAGGTCCCCACAGCCTCCAGACACCAGGATAAGATGTCGATAGCATCAGTTAAATTTCTAGGAGCAGAGACGTATAATTGGGTATCATCAGCGTACTGATGATACCTTAGCCTATGGCAACAGATGAGCTCACTCAGTGGTCTCATATAGATGTTGAATGGGAGAGGAGGGAGTACCAATCCTACAGCACATAACAGGGGACGGAGGCGGGATCTCTCCTCCCCAATCACCACTGACTGGAATTGAGCCTGGATAAAGGAGGTGAACCAGCACATCACCGTGCCGCCCACCCCCAATCCTTTGAGTCGATCCAGAAGGATACAACGGTTGATGGTACTGAAAGCTGCTGAGAGGTCAAGTAAGGCAAGGATGGATGCGCTGCCACCATCCCACCCACACCAGAGATCATCCAAAAGTACGACCAATGCTGTTTCCATCCCATACCCAGGTCTGAATCCTGACTGAAAAGGTTCCAGATAATCCACTTCATCCAAGGTTCTCTGAAGTTGTCACACAATCACCTTCTCAATCACCTTCCCAAAAAGGGGAGGTTAGATACTAGATGAAAGTTGTCCAGTATGGTGGGGTCTAGCAATGGCTTCTTGAGGAAGGGGCAAATTAAAGCCTCAAGAGGTGAAGGAACAACCCCCTCACTCAAGGGAGAATTAGCCATCACTAGAACCCCCTCACATGACACCCCCTGGGCTGCTTTCACAAGCCAGGAGGGGCATGGATCTAGAGAACAGGTAGCTGAGCTCACAGTCCTAAGGACCCTGTCCACTTCCTCAGGTCCAACAGATTCAAACCATTTCCAGATAACTGGGCAAGATTCCACCCTAGGCATCTCCTTCGGGCTTGCAACAAAGCCAGCATCCAACTGCTGAGCAAATTCCTCCACACGTCCCTGCAAGTTTCCCCAGATCCCCTTTACCTAAGAGGGCTTGTGTCACCCAAAACAGAGCTATGGGGCAGCAATCTGCAGATGCAATAAGGCAGAGAAGTACTGTCACTTTGCTGTCCTTACTGCTACAAGGTAGCCCTAATAGTGGCTCTAACCTGTGTTCGGTCCAGTTCATCCTTAGTCAAGCGCTGGGGCGCTCTAGATGTCTCTTCTCTCGTTTCATCTCCCTCAACTCCTCTGTATACTATGGGGAGTGACAGGATCAACGAGAGGGAAGAGACTGCATAGACACAATCTGATCCAATGCTTCAGTCACCTCCTTATTTCATGTGGCAACCAAGGCTTTGGATCGACCATGCAGCAGACCAACAGGGACACTCCCCAGCTCCTCTGGGTCCATCAGTCACCGAGGGTGGAACAATTTAATGGGTCCAGACTCCATGAGTTGGATAGTGGTGCCAGAGAATCCCAAGGTAATCAGGGTGTGATCTGACCATGACAAGGGGGACACTGAAAGCTCCCCAATTGCAGATCACATAGCCACTGCTCTGACAGGAACACCAGATCCAATGTGTGACCACTGCCCTGTGTCAGGCTCTGGACGACCTGGGATAGGCCCATGGCTGTGATGGTGGCCATGAACTCCTGAGCCACTTCAGACCCCATCCCCAGGGAAGGCAGACTGAAGTATTCCAAGACCATAAATCTGGGGAACTTCACTGCCAACCCGAGATGGAATCAAGGAGCTCAGGCAGGGAGGTTGCTATGCTGCAGGGAGGCTGGTACAACAGCAACAATCCCAACTGATCCTTAGAGCCCAACTTAATGAACAGGGTCTCACATCTGGTGACCTGCAAGGCAGTGCTCCTGAAAGCCGTAAGCAATTCTCAGATGACAATTGCCACACTACCATCCTAGTGCTCTTTACAATACCTCAGCAGCATTAGCAAAACTTGTATATGAGTACAGTAGCATGCACAAGCACCCCTTGGCATTACCTTCTGCAAAATAAATCATAGCACGGCATACTTACAATCCATATCAATTCTAATTTCCCTACAGCAATTTAGAAGAAAACAATAACTTAATAGGCAGGCTGGCAGCCAAGAACAATAGTCTGTTGTCTTATGTTCTTAACTCTTCTTCCTCTCTTCTTAACATCATATCCCATTTTAACCCCACTTCATGTAAACCAATAATAGCAGAGACATGAAGCTCCTTGGTTCTACATTAGCTTGGATGGAAGTAGTCTGGAAAAAGCAACCTAATCTTAAGCCTCAAAATAACTGTCTAATCACACTGCTCAGAATAGTTGGGATGTTCCATATGATTTACTCAAAACAGCCACATTTTGTTTCACGCTCAGAACAATCTCTAAAGAGGCATCTCTTTTGCCAATAAAATTGCTGCATGATTTTATTAAGCATTTTGTTCTTTATAATTTATATTTTCAGCTTTTTAAAAACTTTATGAGTTGTTTTGAGCATATACCAGAACAGAAAGGTGGCATATAAATCAAATAAATTAATTTAAAAAATGACACACAATTTTGTTCTGA